TTTGGTTTAATGATCAGAGACGGCGGGATCTGCTTTGATTCACTGGCGGATCTTATCTATGGCGTCGTTTTGTATTTTCCAGCTGAACTGAGTCTTCTGTTTAAGGTGTTTGGGGACATTATGCATTAGAGTTTTTCTCGACTGGTTTATGTCCGCTAGAAGAATTTGGTACTAGATGAGTCGGTCACCTCTTCCGACACGAGTATTTGTAGGTTTGTTCGAGACATCTGGGAATATTGTGATATCCCAAAGGGGACAGGTTTGGACGTGGAAATCATTCGGTTTTAGGGAAATTCTGGAGTATAGCAATGTTTGTGTACATGGCACCCTGTCGTGGATATTAACGTCACAATCCTACCAGAGAAGCCACACAAATTAACAATTTTCTGGACGGGAGAATGGGAGAACAGTGCGTTTCGGTTGACTGGTGTGGGTTGGAAAGCTTGTACGAAGGACGATGTGTAGCGTGTTGGACGAGTGGAAGACCAGTATTGTCCAACCTTCTGAGTCTTTCACCAACGATGGTAACAGAGAAAAAGTGATAGGTCTAGGGAAGGTGTTTCCAATGGATATACGTACATTGTTCTGGGGACTCCTAGGGGAATTTGCTTTAACACGAGAAGGACAGACATGAGTGGCTTGCTGTGAACTGCGAGGGTTGGCATTCTGGCGCGGAATACGAAGTCAGGATTGGAACCGGGATGAAACTGAGTCGGGGTCACGCGATTCCGAGTTTCAGCTAAGGATGCAGTCAAAGCCACCGCTCGGTATTCGCACAATGGAATTGAATTTTCCAAAGCTACGTCATGTCCCTTTGGGCAAAGAGTCAGGAGATTGAGTTCAGAGTAGGAGTACAGACTTGAGAGCCCAATCTAGACATCTCGGGGTAGCTGCGATGCTAGGGAAGTATTCCACCAGACCTTTTCCTCTAGAGGTATGATTGCTGCAGTGGACAATGAAATAAGGTGAGCTGCAAAGATATGAACGTAGATTGGGATGGTTTTTGGTTTGAGCACATACTTGACGAAATGAGATATTTTGGCGCTCGGAAAGCTTTTGCAGCTAAGATCATTGTGCGGATAATTGGCACCGTCAAAGCCCCTTGGTATTTCACCTCTGCCCCATCGATATTTCCTTTGATGGGCTAGGAGCTTACGAGAGATTTTGTCTAAATTTCAGGTACAATTGTTGGTGTTACCAGCTTGCTGTGAGTCCAGGGACGAGATGTTTAGGTTGTCTTGTGGGTTTTTTGGAGCATACTTGCTGATATGTGGTCTCCAGGTAGACTAGACCACCAATAGATTGAGGATGAATGCCTTTCGAACCAAGTGAATTGTTCGGGTCACACACACACACACACAGAGAGAGAGAGGAGTTTGGCTATTTCTCCATCAATACCAGGGATGATGGTCTAAGGAGCACCGAGTGCGCGTGCACTGGCGGTAGCCGATGTCAATACCAGGGTTTAATGCGACTGTGCGTAGTTCAGTAATGGATGTTTTGTGCTTGGTGTCGAAGGATCCGTTCGAGTATCAGACCACAAATGAAAGGAAGAGGGCCTTCGCTGCAGAGTTGTGTATATTCACGCCGATACCTCCAGCATTCTTGCAGATGATAGCACATTCTTCGAGTGTGTCATAAATACATTCGATACTGTCGTCTTTCATTGTGATCAGGAAACAGCTGGACATTAGCGGTCTAGTAGTACCACTATTAAATGGGGTCGGTGAAGCATGGGTGAACCACTTCTCTGACATTAGATTGTACATTGTCTCAATGGCGGCATCGACGTAACGCCCATGTATCCCTGCAGAAGCCCTCATGAGCATATGCTGCTGACGTTCGTGAAGCTTGCCATGCAGTTTGAATAGGTGGGTGCGCTCCAAAGTCGTAAAACCGCAATAATTGTAGTTAAAATCACGTTGGTAGTCTATCGCCAAATTCAATCGGTCAGAGTTCTCCCGTATGATCTGGATAGCGTCTTCACTTACTATGGGTGGATGAAGCTTGGTGCGCTCGTTAACGCAGCCATACAGGTTCCCGTTTACTCCTGAAAAAGACGCTTTCGTGTTTTTCATGCAAATTAGAAACGGCCAGGCGAGCGGCCAGGGTCCCGTAGTCATGGTGTCGTGTTGTCATACAGGCACATACTTCAGCGGTCAAGTTGTCCAGTTCGGGTGTCGTCACCCCAGCATACAATCCAGTGACTACTCGACGGGTGATTGCGGGAATATCGATGCACGACTCATCCAGACCGTAACATAGGGCGCAGATACGTTCGCTGATTTTCTCACAGTGAACACCTTCCGGCCATCCCTTTTAAGAACATATATTTTATCGATTCCAGAAAACTCCTTCAAAGCTTACGTTCCGACATGCCAACTCACACGACCAAGGGGACTGTGTAACACAGACGGTTAACTTCCCAAGATACTGGTCGGCAGGTCGCGGTTTCAAACCTGCCTGGAGTGTACGACAGTGTACGCTTCTCTAGTTCTTACCATAGACTGGGTTCCTTTGGGAAGTTGCATCCCAGACTACTATCAATCCATAAGTGGCTTAGGGGAAGAATAAAAATAAGTTAACTGGCGAGTGACACCTCGGCCTTAGATATCGTCATTGGAGTAGCCAGTCATTGTGAGCAGTAGAAGTGGTTTTATTAAGTGAAGGATTGGTGACGCTATATCCTCTCGAACTGCAGGTTCATTACAATGCAGATCAGTCTATCTTAAATCTTGACTGATGAACCCTCACTCTTTCAACCGGAGCATGCAGGTCCCGCTTGATATTCGTCACGACTTCTCAGCGAATAGTGGAAGAGACTCAATGCGTTTCAACTTCCAACCATTTTGCTAAAAGTTAGTTGACCTTGTCCCTGGTTTGGCTAATGAAATCACTGAAAAGATGATTGCGCCCGTGAGCCTCCCAGTTATTCTCAGTCGTTTCCTGTGGAGAATGATATATCGGTACTTCATGACCCTGCCTCTGGATTTAAGACGACGAGGCAGGTGAATGTTTCACGTATAACGGTAAGCAATTTATAGAATAACATCGATTAATGAATGCGTTTAGACGAGATATATCATCTCCGAGTTGCGCTGGAATTCTCTCATGTCGGGCTAATTACTTTGGAAGGTTTGGCAGACGTCATGGCGGAAACAGTAATCTAAACGGAAGCTCCATTCAAATGATTTCGATGTTCGAATGAAGGTGGTTCTTGAGTTCACACTACACTCACAATGATTTGGACGGTAGCCTACACTAGGTCCAATCAGATTCGTAGGCTTTTAGGTAGACACACTGTCCCACAAGGGATATGTGACAAATATATCCGAAGGTTTCCGCGCACGCTAACCCTATATAAGCTACAGCCGTACTTAACGCTGTATTAGAATTCCTGTCAAGCAAGCCACTGTCACTTAGCCACACATCTGAAGAGAGTATCGGATATTGGAGAATTGTCACATCTGAAGCGAGTATCGGATATTGGTGAATACCTGCCACAGTTGATCATTTGTGACTATCGGTGCCTGGTATTCGTCTGAGATCCTGACCTTTGACGTTTCCCTTTCCTATACACCCTTTGAAATTGGCTGGCTGATCTCCGCAGCTCTTGGACATCGTTTGGGCTCGATAGAGCTGAGTGGTTTGGGCGCAAGCTGACGGACCTAAAGGTTGGTGTTTCGAATACAAAATAAGGATCTCCAATACTCCGGTCTGGGCTTAGGAAACATGGCAGTACTCCAGGTCTTGAGCCTCCTTCCGAGGGCATGGCAGATAGTCGCCGTAAGGTTGCTTCAGCTGAGGGTTGGGCATTGGTTGTGTAAAGTCGGCGAGCTTCCGTCGACATATACTCGCATCGTTTGAGTAGCGTGTTTCATTTAGACAAACGCATATTGTGATACCCGAATTAAAAAAAACACCCGAAATATGGAGCGTCTCGATGCTACACATTAAGTTAAGGTAGGCTAACGGACCCGTGTTTTCGGGTCCGTTACGCGGCGCGATCTCCGAGATTCCTTCAACATGACGACCTACTTAAGCTATATGAGTAGTGTGTGAGTAGTCCTGATGAAGCACACTCGACTGAAGTGGACCGTCATTAACGCAGTGAGGCATCCTCTTCTTTGTGGACATTGCCCGTCTGCATTGCATTCAATCGCGGCGTCCAAAACTGCACGTCTCACCTACTGGAAAACTGTACTTCGGTGTTGCAATTCACAAACCTGGGCTTTCCAGTGGAAATTCAGAAAACTTGTG